CAGGAGGACAGGGGTAGGGTGTGCGGGTGAAAGTTGGGAGTAGGTGAATGGGTGTGCGATGGGGCAGATGTGTAGGTGATAATGTCGGGGTACAAATGTGTTGTGTGCTGTCTCCGCCCAGCAAGGGAAATGAGTGTGCAGGTGTGGCGATTTCTTTCTCTGTAGCTCTTGCCGTGTTAATGCATGAGATGTGTTTATAGGCTGTGCTGTAATCAGGAGATTCATGCATGTTTCTGACAGGCAGTGACTGATCAGGTGATAGATTGGCCTGCACAGATCTCAGCCTCCCCCAGCTGTACTGATAGTGTAATCTATACATCCTGCAGCCTCCTGCTGTCTCTCTCTTCTGCACTGATAGTGTGATCTATACATCCTGCAGCCTCCTGCTGTCTCTCTCTTCTGTGTAATAGTGTGATCTTCCAGTGATCTCCCCACACACGCTATACAGTACCTCCTGTAACCTCCTGCACTGTTTCACTCTCCTGCACTGTCTCACACCCTCTCCCTCTTGTCTCTCTCTCCCTCTCTCCTGCCCTGACTCGTCCGCTGCTCTGTCTTGATGAAAATCTCGTCGGGAAGCACTTTGCAATTCAAATGGCAGGCTGTGCTGGCTGCTGTCCAGCTCTCTTGGGGTGATCTGTGTATTCAAGAGCAGGTCAGGGCAGCCTCTGCACTGCTGAACCACTTCCAATGTCAGACCACACAGTGCCCGTGGAAAAGTATGACAGTTCTGTGGACCTGTTGCAGATCTTATCACCATCTCACTGGGCTTTACTGTATTGTCCTGTGCTTTTACCCTGATCTCACTGGGCTTTACTGCGCTGGACTGTGTTTCTACCCTGATCTCACTGGGCTTTACTGCACTGTACTGTGTTTTTACCCTGATCTCACTGGGGTTTGCTGCACTGTACTGTTTTTACCCTGATTTCACTGGGCTTTACTGCACTATACTGTTTTTACCCTGATCTCACTGGGGTTAACTGTGCTGTACTGTGTTTCTACCCAGATCTCACTCTGATTTACTGCACTGTACTGTTTTTACCCTGATCTCACTGGGCTTTACTGCTCTGTACTGTGCTTTTACCCTGATCTCACTGGGCTTTACTGCACAGTACTGTGTTTCTACCCTGATCTCACTGGGCTTTCCTGCACTGTACTGTGTTTCTACCCTGATCTCACTGGGCTTTCCTGCACTGTACTGTGTTTTTACCCTGATCTCACTGGGGTTTACTGCGCTGTACTGTGTTTTTACCCTGATCTCACTGGGGTTTACAGCACTGTACTGTGCTTTTACCCAGATCTCACTCTGATTTACTACTGTACACTGTACTGTGTTTT